CCACAGAGACACAAAGAGACACACAACAACCACAGAGACACATTGGCTTTGCAGCAACACAAACAGAGCTGTGAAGAGACAGAAGAGAAAAAGAAAGAGTGATGAGGATCTGGAACCTGATCAGACTTTGAGATGATTCATTTATTCTTTAAACTTTTATCTCTTATTAAATAAAGTCAATTCTCTGAGGATTTTCAAATGCATTCTGGGAAATACTGTCAAATCTCAGCTTTGAGGGAACGAGAACATTTCAGCACCGAAGAAATTCCTGAAGTGAAACATTCTGTTCCATCGTGTGTTGATCAGAAGTTCACGTCCTCTGAAGCTGAACGTTCTGCTGCGAGAGAAACGGAGCGAAGAGGACGAGTCTGAAGAGACGAAGCTGAAGATGAAGATTTATTCTGCGATGTTTTTAAACCTGCTGAGACTCGAGGTGTGAGATACGTCACAGTGTGTTCGTGTGTTGAATTCAAAGTGTGTGTATCTGTGTGGGTGGGGTTAGGTTAAGGTTTTGGTTCGGCCGTCAACACAGAACTGAGGGTGTGTGTGTGTGTGTGTGTGTGTGTTTCCTCTCCACAGGAAGTGACATCAGAGGAAATGATGCAGGGTTTTTCTGAGTCAGTTTGTAGAAACAATAGATGCGTCATCATCTCTCAGAATAAAGTTCTGACCACGTCGTCGTCACGTGATCAGAAAAACAGAGAAACATGTTTCTCATGTGACACACGAGGAAACTTTATCCGTTACTGAGCATTGAGAGCGACATCATCATTCTGAGGTCTGATTGGTTAACGAGCGGCGAGTCTGGAGCAACAGGAGGTCGTAGTTTGTATAAAGACGCACAAACAGACACACAAGTGATTATGAAACATTAGTGGAGTCAGCAGACAGGAAGTCAACTAGTAATAAACATTTCTCCAAATGCTGAGCTGTTCCTTCAAGATAACAGCTGCTGGTCCGACGTGTTTGACCTGTGTGTGTTTGTGTGTTTGTGTGTTGCACAGGAACTGGTGTGCGTTTGTGCAGAGGCGTGTGGTAACAACGATGGTGGAGTGTGGAGTAGAGAAGTACACCATCAAGTCTCAGAGTCCCTGTCCGAGCGGGATCCCTGACTGTCAGGTGGTCATGTGAGTGTGCAACTACACCGTGTGTGTGTGTGTGTGTGTGTGTGTGTGAGAGAGAGAGAGAGAAATAAAAGTTAAAACAGTAAAACTAAGACCTGAAGTCTGAATCAGTTCTGATACAAGAACCTCAGAAAGTTTTACTCTGATAAAATCAGACGCCTTTCAAATGTTTGTGTGTGTGTGTGTGTGTGTGTGTGTTTGTGTGTGTGTGTGTGTGTGTTTGTGTGTGTGTGTGTGTGTGTGTGTGTGTGTGCAGGTACAAGCTGTCCAACCGACCTCTCTACAAACAGAAGCAGAAGATCGTCACCTCTCTGCAGTGGCTCTGCTGTCCGGGACACGGTGGACACAACTGTGAAGACACAGGTGCGTCACCATGGTAACAGATCCAGGCACGTCTGTCGTCTTCCGGTTTTCAGTGAAAACCTGCGAAGGACAAATAACACAGATGTGTATAAGTACAGTAACTGAGTACATGTACGTGGTTACTACTTCTACCTCGGAGACACTTCAGACGAACAGGGAACAAATGACTTTGATCACAAATATTTAAAAATATGCAAATGAGGCTTTATCAAATTAACGAATGTTGAACGACAAGAGTCGTGTTTAAGTCGTGTTTAATTTCCTCATCAAGTTTGAAACTGTGAAAACGACGATGCTGTTCAGTGACTCAGTGAGTCTCTCTCTGGTTTTCCCCTCGTTCACTCAGCTCTGTTTTCTCTGCTGGAGACTATTTTAAATGTTCACTCGAAAAACAGAGGAGCTTAATTTAGTCCAGATCTTCTGTGTGTGTGTGTGTGTGTGTGTGTG